CTCTGAACACGGTTCTGCTATTAGACTTACAGTGTAGCGATATCATAGCATTGTGACGTCATCAAGTTCATGACGTCATAGCATTGTCAGGGCATTGTACGAAATCTGTCAAAACGATATCTCCTAGGTGATATCGTTGATTTCACACAAGCAATGTCACCTGTGGAACACAGTTTTGGATGATAAGAACTTATCTTATCCCAAACATTCAAACATCCAGACGTTACAATTCATACCCACCAAACTTATACCTTCATGTCAACCCAATTTATCTCTTCATACCTACTCAACTTATCCTCTCATACCAACCCAACGTATTCCCCCATACCAACCCAACTTATCAACTCATACAAACCCAACGTATTCCCCCATACCAACTCAACTGACCCGTGAAGGTCCGGGTCTATTAGAATAGCCCTTCAGCAACCCATGCTTGCTATAAAAGGCGACTATGCTTGTCGTAAAAGGCGACTAACGGGATCGGGTGGTCAGGCTCGCTGACTTGGTTGACACATGTCATCGGTTCCCCATTGCGCATATCGATGCTCATGCTGTTGATCACTGGATTGTCTGGTCCAGACTCGATTATTTACAGACCGCCGCCATATAGCTGGAATATTGCTGAGTGCGGCGTAAAACTCAACTCACTCACTCACCCACTACCAACTCAACTTATCCTCTCATTCAAACCCAACGTATTCCCCCATACCAACCCAACTTATCCTCTCATACCAACCCAACGTATTCCCCCATACCAACTAAACTTATCCTCTCATACCAACCCAACGTATTCCCCCATACCAACTAAACTTATCCTCTCATACCAACCCAACGTATTCCCCCATACCAACCCAACGTATTCCCTCATACCAACTCAACTTATCAACTCATACCAACCCAACGTATTCCCCCATACCAACTCAACTTATCCTCTCATACCAACCCAACGTATTCCCCCATACCAACCCAACTTATCAACTCATACCAGAGTAAATTACCCAATTGTACCAACATGACTTATATCTTCATACCAACTCAACATATGCACTCGTACCAACACAAAGTATCATACTAGCCCAACCTATTTCCTCAAACCAACCCAACTTATCCCCAACCCAGCATATCTCCTCATTAAAATCCAACCATTCGGCCCAACACGACTTACTCGTTCAAACAAAGTAGCCCGTTCATGTCAACCCAACTTATCAGCACATGCGATCCGTCTTATCCAGTCATATAATTCTTTCAAAACAATTTGAACCCCTTTTTTCATAATGCTTTGATCTTCAGTCAGACACTTCAAGTACACACAAACAACACTGTTTTGTTCAGGAAATCGGGAAACATTATATAATAAGGATTCCAATTTTTAAAAGGTAGCACGTCAATTTGAATGCATCTGTCTGCATAGCCAAAAACAATCTTGTATGAAGACATGTGGCACACAATTGCAACAAAATGTACGAGACCAATCACGAGTAAAATCACCCGTCAAAATAGCAAAGTTACGACAAAAAGTAAAACGTTAAAATTCATGTCAACCAGATCATTGTCTAAAGTACCAACACTCAGTAGCGCGTATGTGATCCACATGATTTGATCACTGCCTGGCACCATCGGCTTGCGCTAAGTGTCTGGGTGGACTGTTCCACTCTTCAGTAAGAGCATTGCCGAGTTCCTGTAGAATTTGCCGGAAGGACAGAGCGCCCTGGGAGACAAATCCCCAAAACGTCCACAATAAAATATCCCATCCCACAGCTATCGTCCTGCTTTATTGTCGGCGGTAATAACATCTACTGTCATTCTTCACTACCGTTTGTAACGTGTTCCTAAGCCCTTCATTGTTATCATACAACCATAAGTAGAAACTAGTATCGCTTTCAATAATGGGAATTATACGTTGTTTACTAGTATCCCTTAGATTTTTAAGAGAAATTATCGCAAAGAAAAAGGTTAAAGCGAGCATTATTAGTGTACATAAATTTCTCTAGTATTCTTCTTGCCTCTCTGTCATTGAACGGACTGGCTGTGAAATAAGCGAACATAGAAATCTAAGGAAGAGGAAATGCAAGTTTTGAGTGAGTGGGCGAGTGACCATGTTTTGTCACCACTTTTAGCAATATTGCAGCACTAGACACCAGAAATGGGCTTCACACATTGTACCCATGTGGGGAATCGAACCCGGGTCTTCAGCGTGACGAGCGAACGCTTTAACCTTTACGCTACCCCACCTACCCTGAATGAAAGTTGTGACAACTTGTGCCCAATCCTTTTCCTGCGGTTGAAATACGTTTAAACTCAACAACTGACTGACTGACTTGAGTTTAAGGCTCCTTGACCAGTTATACCACGCCGTGTCTGCTTCATGTGGGAGGAAGACCCGGAGTGACACAGGTCTTGAAACTAAACACTTCGGTGAAAAACACGGGCTTAAGAAACAACGATCAGGGCGAATGTAGAATTGGTAGCACAACAAACAACTTCTCAGTACTCATCCTTTTTTTACTGCAACAAATTCGTTGTTAAAGAACCACTAAACTTTGTTTTTTGTTACTCTTTTAACCATTACATATGAAAGATTTGTGGTTAGTCTTATGCGGAACACCAAATTTATTCTTTAAAAACTTGTGGTTAATTAATACCGAGCGATTAAAAGTGGCCAAAAAGTCGCCTGCCTCCCTCTCGCCCGCCAACGAAACCACAGACAGGTTACGTAACTCTGTCGCCAGAGCACTGCAGTGACGTCATATGAGGAACGATTTTCAGTTAGTTGTATAGAACATGTGTAGCACGCTCATCATTTTGATGATTTCTCGACATCAACGACGACATGCCGAATCGTTGCTTTGTCGTCAATTGTTCCTAGGGGTCGGGCGATGGTGTCTCCATGCACAGATTTCCACAGGACCCCGCAGTTCGTGCTAAATGGGTTATGTTTGTGAGTGCGAAGCGAGCGTTGTGGAAGCCTGAAACGATATCTTACTTGTGTTCAGATCGCTTCACGGAAGTTAAAGAATCAAAACTACTTACTAATTCTAGTAAAATATGCATATGATTGATGACCATAAAAAAATTTCTATGACAACTTGTAACATAACGATTTCTTCCTCGGAAGTGAGTTTGTGGTCGAAGTAACAATAATATTGTAAGTAGTATTATATTCACACCCACCTCTCTGCCACGAGAGAAATTGTTATGTTATACGCTATGTCATGCAAAATCATATTGGCCATCAATAAAATACATATTTTACTACCAGTAGAAAGTAGTTTTGATTTTGTAACTCGGTGAAAACAAACCTAAATACCATTTATCCTCAGACTGGCGGATGTTCCCGATAGGGCGCCGCCATTTTTAAAAATAAAAAAATCTGTTAGAATTAATGAGATTATAGTTTGTTTTCATCAAGTTAGAAAATCAGGACTACTTTCTACTCGTAGTTAAATATGTATTGGAATCATAACGAAAAGGATTTTGCATGACACAACTTAGAACATAACGATTTCTTCCACGGAAGCGAGGTGGGGGTCGAAGTCACAATACTGCGCGATAAATTTCTTGCTACATTCCCATGGTTAATGTCCACTCACCAGTATGTAGATACTAGTCAATGTGCGTCTTTATATTTGGTCTTATAATCCTAAATAGTTTATTATCATACTTGTATGCATTTTGAAACTAAATAAAAAGCAGACGATCTGCTGATAGTTATAGTGAATTTATAACAGAACTGTAATATCTAGACATTTTATAGTTTGCCAATGTGAATCATAATTCGCACACACACCCTAGTGCATGTTGTCTGTCTCATTACACTTCACGGCGAAAACAATGATTCTGTTGAATGCTACGACAAATGAATAAAAACAACATGCAAATATTAAAATTAAAACAGATTAAAGTTATAGGAACAATATCAGGCCATTACCTTGTTCGAGGAATGTATCCATCAATATCCACAAAACTGTTCCAAATGATGTGTCTTTTAACAGTTTAATATACGAAAAAGTGATAAATCTTTTCAGGTATTGGTGTATAGTCTCATTGGTCACCCAAGATAGCACACCTGGCAACTAATTGCATAATGTCCGCCTTTCTTTAAAAACAGTAATTTAGTTAGCCAATAATGGGCAATCAATCAATGTATTGCCGGTTAATCCTTTGAAAGAAGGACGTTGTTTTTACGCAGACACCGACACGACAGAGTGTATTCAGTATAGATTAGTAAATCTACATACATAAACACTACCTTTTGACAATTCCGCTGTGTAAGATAAAAGTAATTAATCAATCAGCGTGTTATCGGTTAATCCTTTGATCGATGTTTATAATGTTGAATATTTACTCCAGACACAAGAAATGCCAAATGGGAACCTTTGTCGGGTAATCTAAGTGTGTTACCACTAATTATACCTGTTATAAATTCATTAACTGACCATCAAGTGAATGATGACAAATAACGTGTAGGTTTATACCACCTAACACGGGTTACAACGAGGGAGTATTAATTGCTGTATTCAAATATAAGCTTATACAAGATAATTTAACCCCTTGTATTCGTTTCATCGGCCCTCAGGTTTCTTCACAAGCATTGTATTGCACTGCATTGACAAAAATTGAGAATAAAAAAAGGAACACTGCGGGGTTTCATTGAGAGGTGTTCCCTTATTTGTTTCCCCTCAGTATATATATTTCCATCGATAGGAGGAACAGATTCTAATGTAGAAACCGTTACCTCCAAGTCCTTCTTTTCCCTCAAGACGCTAAAAACATACGTGTAATCATTTCTTGAAGACGTAATTCCGTTGAAGACAAAGTCAAAGGATAAGAAGAAAAAAAGCGTTCATCAGCTGATGAAGGAGTAAGCATACACTCCGAAACGTCGTGCTATTCACAATAAAGAAGGTGACATCCATAAATCTTCCTTTTCTTATTCATTCCACTTCTAAATGTCCTTCAAAGATTTAATGTCAAAAGAAATTAGTTACAAATATACTCACAATTTCCGTGGTTCTTTGACATTAACAGGACGACTTTGCTTCCGCAGTTTATCCTTTTCCGAAAAGTTCCTGCAATAAGAACAAGTACATGACGGTTTCCGTTGAATTGTCGTGAAGAACACCACCGACATCCCCTGCTTGTATCTACATAGGAAGGTGGTACAGGTGACTGCTTATTAAGGTGGGAGGCGGCTTTATATTGGCCATTAACTGCCCCATCGCACGCCAAGAAGCCATCAATCATGAAAGATGAGCAAAAAACATAACGGCGAGAGGGAGAGTTAATTAACTTGCCACGAAACGCGGCTGGAAATATGAAGCAAATTTGTGAAATATTTACGAAATGCGTAATAAAAACCGCTTCGGTGATTTTTAAGTATTTCTCTGGGATAGCGTTGTCGGGATTAACACACGCTTTGGATGCCTGAGTTAGATGCATCATGGGTTATCCAGTAAATCATATTGTCGTGGTATTCATTATTGTCACCCCTAGAGTGATGGGGTTTTTGGTAAAGGGAAGTATTATGCAAAGAATTGCTGACATCGTTTGTTCAAACAGACCTTTGCGCGGATAGGTCATGTTGCCCTCAGCGTGCAAGTGGTATAAAGTTATTCTTTGTTTGTTTGTTGTTTACGCAGCCCTCAGCACAGATCCAGCTATGTGGAGGCAGTCTGTTGGTAATCGAGTCTGGGCCAGACAATCCAATGATGAGTATGAGCATCGATCTACGCAATTGGGATACGATAGCACGTGTCAACCGAGTCAGCGAGCAGGCCCCGTTTCACAAAGCTATCGTAGCGCTCCTGTCGTAACTTCTATGCTGTAACATAGACTTACGACAGTCGTAGCGCTACGACAGCTTTGTGAAGCGGGGCCCTGACCATGCAGTTCCGTCAGTCTCCTCTTTCGACAAGAATGGTTTGCTGAAGACCGAATTTGACCTGGACCGGGGATGGTAAAAGAGTACAGAACAGAGTGTTTTATGCTTGTCTACATGACAATACCAAGTCATCTTAAGACGATATCATACTTGGGATTGGACTTTTCACGTCAGTTTAACATACAATGGTTAACAAAACTCTTCTTGAGTTATGGAGCCTAGTTTTAGGAATGGCTGGACTATTCGCGTCATCAACCGGCAGTTCAACCTAAGTCTGAGACCGATCCAATGAATAGTCCATGCTGTCCTAAAAGGACCATAGTTCGTGATGTAGCGAATTACAACACCAAGGAGTCAAACAGTGACTAACGCTTAATTACCAGTGGATGTAGGACAACACGACGTGTCCGACGACCAGTTTGACTGACAGTTGAACGTGGACGTTTGAAGTTATTGTGGACTAAACGGTACCGGGATGTGAGATTACTGCCATGGTGGCACGCCACCGTCACAGATTAATCACAGTTCCTGCTCTACAGAGTCGATGGCGGAAGAGGGTACGGAGACTGACAGGGGATAGGTTCAGCGATGATTGTGTTGAAGGTCAAGTCTCAGGGTCAGGCCATTTCTGGTGTTCCCCGCCGTAATATCGATGGAATATTGCTAAAAGCGGCGTAAAACCATACTCACTCACTCACCCAGGGTCAGGGGATCTGTTCGTTTCGGGGAATCCATCATAAAAACAAACAAAGCTAATAGTATTGTTTTGTTTGTGTCCACACTCCACAATATTCCAGCTATAAGGCGGCGGTTTGTAAATAATAGAGTCTGGACCAGCCAACCCAGTGATCAACAGCATGAGCATCGATCTATGCAATTGGGATACGATGACATGTGTCATCCAAGTCAGCGAGCCTGACACCCGATCCTGGTGAAGACTAATCCTAACCGGATCTTCACGAGTCGACCAAATCGTGAACCACTCGTTACCGTCTGGCGAGAAGACATGCAGACATTGTACTGGCCCGTTAAGTCCCCGGATATGTCCCTAATAGAGCATCTGTAGGACATTCTCCAAGTGTAAAATGTACGCCAAGCACCAACATAGCCCAGTGTTGGGTGGCGGTCAGGCGAAGTAGGGGGCAATACCAAGGGCAACCATACGAAAGTTGATCAACAGTATGCAGGAGGTGTCGAGCATGTATCACCCAATATAGTGGACACACCAGATAAAGATTTTGCAGACTTTTGTCATTGCAACATCACTATGTCTTTATCGGTCCCCACACGTGTTTCAGTAGTGGTACCATATATACATTGTAAAAGTGAAATCAACAGTTAAAACTGTTGTATCATATTTTGGTAGATTACATACAAACATCACTCATGTTTCTCGATACACGGATTTCAGTGTCAGAGAAAAGTTTCATACTTACAATACTAGTGCTGGAATTTGACGGGGAAACTTTCTCTTGCCCATCGTCGCCTGACCTGGCGTCCGTCAACACTCAAGGCGATTTCCAGTGAAAGAAAGTGGAGGGATTGGTTACCACGTATTGATTCGGGGGCTATCGCGTGAGAATCCTTGTGTTTTATCCAGATTAGGCGTTTTCCCATCGATTTAATTACTTGTCTGTTGTTCTTTTGTTGCCAAGAGGGTGTCAGGTGCTCTTGTTTTTAGAGATAGAGTATATACAGAGAGTTGGAATAATAGTCTACGTGGTGAAACGGTTGTGTTTTATTTACAATAATGCAAGTTTCATTGGTAGGTTTTACTTGATAAAATATATATTTAAAAGAATTGTAAAGGAGGAGGTTTAGATTGTTTACAAGTCATTATTCTTTATTGTCTCACTAAACATGATGCAACGTTTAACCACAAGAAATTGTATTTTTGGACACATAATATTTACCAGGTGGTAATAGTCTGCCATACAGACCCTGAAGCAAATATATCCAAGAAAGCCCTCACGAGTCTAGGAAAGGTGGCAGGTAATGAAGATAGTCTCAGGACTCCTTTTCATTCTATGATTATTTTTTTACTATGAGCTTTTTTTCTGTAAAATGTGTTCATTTCAGAGACTAGTTGTTAGTCTGAGGTGGTAATTTGTTTTAAACATATTTTATTCATTCAAGAAAAGGATTGGGCACAAGTTATCCAACTTAGAAAAGCCCTCTCCAGATAATTACACAATTCATCTTACAACAAAGTACACAAGTGACAGACATAGGCTAGGATATGTACAACAGATGTTAACTGAGAAAGCGTTTTGTTTGAGAGATATAGATATGTACATACTTGAAAACATTCTGGTTTTCAGTGATTGAGAGACCTGCATTGCCATGTAAGATAAGATTAATATCAATCAGTGTTCTATTTTTGACAATATGTTCTGAAGATTTTAACAGTTTATGTCTTTGAATAGTATACAAAGGACATTCAAGGAAGTAACGAAAAACATTCTCACATCTATGGCCACATTGACATGATGCGTCATTTTTTACATTTATTCTAAATTTATATAAATCATAATTAAGTGTACTCGTCATATATCTTAATCTAGTGTGCATAACATTGAACTTCCTTATTCCATATGAATAATATATAGGTGCGCATTTTTCCTTCACGTGGATATACGATTTAAACGAGGCAACAGAGTCGCAATTTCTAATAGCTAAGGGAATATTATTCCACACTTTAACTGTTGGTGGATGAAGTTGAGTATCTCAGTCTTGTATATGGTTGACTAAAGTTATTGGAGTTTCTTAACTCATAACTTGTCTGGCTGCTTACTACAGGTGGTAATTACTAGGAGGTCAATAATACATCAATTAGGATGTCTTATGTTTGAACTGAGGAAGTTGGTTATGATAGGTAAGCGGTCATGTGACTGAACACAATATATTCCAAATAATTATCTGTTAAGATATCCTTCAACTGCCTTTGTTTCCATTCTATCCTCCAAAAATGAAAATGTAATACGTAATCTTACGCTTTATGTAAAACATGCTGTTATCCTTAGAAGCAATCTGTTATCTGAACTGTAATTCATTTTGTGAAATGTCTGTAACATGTACTGTATGTATACTTGTATTATTTGTCTTTGGGCCGGAGGACTTAAGTACAATCAACATCTTTGACGTGACTTGACTGATGACGTCAAGTGTTTCCTCTCGTCCACGTTGCGTGTCGTTGACGTCGCATAAACCACTGCGTTCCACGTCCATGTACAGTTATCAAAGCAGTGTTGTTATATTCCTGGCGAGGTATCCTCCCATTTGTCAGACATCCCCATAGTCAGACAGGTTATAATAACATATCCCCAGATTTCACATCGGTACATCAAGCTTAAGATTGGTTTCACCATTGAATCAAAGATAAATAGTTGACATTGTATTGAAAATTTAACATTCGACTTCTCCTTAAAACAAAATACATGTACATGGCTTTAGTAGCTTGTTGACAGATATTTGATAGAGATAATTTAAAAGAACATTTTCTATCAAACATAACTCCAAGATATTTATACACAATAACAGTTTTCCTTAGGTTCAACTAACTGGTTGAAATATCCTATTAGGAAATTCCCATTTGCCCTAATTAATCCCTAGTCCAGTGTCTGACCATTGGCATGTCTAACTAATGGGGTGTCTAACTAATGGGAGTAACTCCCTGGCAATATATTACTATTGAGTGAACTGTGACACTTGAAAACTGGTTATGACCTAAAAATGCAAACGTTATTTAAACTACCTAGGATGAAAAGACTTACCGCGACACTGCCAAGTAAAGGTCTGAATTACAACAATGGTACCAGCATCAAATACATCCAATTGAATACCCATGTCTTGTTCTTTGTATTGTAGTCGACCCGACCCGTGAAGATCCGGGTTAGAATAGATCTTCAGTAAACCATGCTTGCCGTAAGAGGCGACTAACGGATCAGGTGGTCAGGCTCGCTGACTTGGTTGACACATGTCATCGCATCTCATTTGCATAGATCGATGCTCATGCTGTTGATCACTGGATTGTCTGGTCCATACTCGATAATTTACAGACCGCCGCCATATAGCTGGAATATTGTGATGTGTGGACACAAACAAAACAATACTATAAGTTTTGTTTGTTAGTATGATGGATTCAAGGAAACGAACAGATACAACAGACCTTGAGACTAGACCTTCAGCACAATCATCGTTCAACCCATCCCATGTCAGTCTCGAGTGCGGCGTAAAACTAAACTCACTCACCCACTCACTGTATTAAAGCCAACATCCAACATGGCTGCATATATTTGTGTGTGATAGTTTACAGAATTTTCATCATAAGCCATCTATATTGACCCATTAAATGTATATCTCATACGAACACATTTTAGTATTGACCAATATGCATCCGTCGTATGCTATACCAGATACTTTCAATATTCAACACTAAGCACAATTATACTTACACTTGTGATACCTGAATAAGATCCCCAAGATCGTCCTCTTCTCCCTCTCCCTCAGCCTCTTCACCAGAGTTTTCTCCCCAGCTCACCGACGACGACCTTGCAGAGTTAATGTGTTTAGCGCTGAGGTATGACGTGTCACTCGGGGTATCACTGACCTCGCGTGGCTGACTCACAACCCCTAAGGAGCTCACATTAGAGTCAACATCAGTTTCCACCACCAATGCAGGGGTCTCAAAACTCGTCTCCAATCGCCTGTTCATAATTTGTTCAAGTTCCACGTCTTCATCGGACCTTGATGAAGAAACCTTCTTATGTACTTTATCAGAACCAGTTCTACTCGATAACAGCTTGCATTTGCTAAAACGCCTTCTAATCTTTTCCCCTCTTCTTGACAATTTTCGTTTGTGAGTTTGGACAGTTGAGCCAACGAACAGCCTATTTCTGTCAATGATAGGGCTTCGTCTGGCACTGTCTTGTTCGTCGGGTCTTCCGGTGACGGGAAGAGTTACCATTTCAGTTCTGTCATGTCCATGTGTTGAATCCACACGAACAACTACAGGCATTTCAGTATTTCTTTGTCCTGCTGAGAGCAAATCATCCTTCTCAAGACCCGATCTTCTTTCAAACCTTCTACTGTAATTCTGCTTGGCTGAAGCACGGGTCGAAGCACGAGTTCGAACATCACCAAATTGTTTCAACATGTTTTTGTCTTTATTATACCTGTGTGCGTCCACCCCAAGGTACTCCACTGACCATTCCTCTATACCGCCACTCCTTGGCACTCTGTTCCCAGTGGATACAGGAGATTCTGTTTTGAGAACTGGAACACATAATCCGTCCTGCGTGTTGCAGTCGCGGCTACCTTGGAGCTAAGTTTGTGTCCACCTTCAGAGATTCCAACTCCACTTGATGTCAGCATGACCTCTCGATTCCCCTGACGTCTAAAAGCGTTTGATCCATCCCGTCTGTCCTTCCTGACATGGACTGACGTTCCCCTGAGATTCAGATAATTACTTTCGGCACCTGTTTGGTCAACGAGGACGTCAGACTGATTGCTACGAGCTGTCCATGAAGCTTTTTTCTCACGAAACCCGCCATTTTTTATTGACGACTGAGAATGTGTATGTTCACCTTCTACAGTCCGTTTCACAGTCTCGTAAGTGTTTTTATCTATCACAATCCTTGGAGATCTAGCTCCTCTAAGGCGGAATCCACATGTCTTAGGTTTACCCTTTGCTTCCTCTGCAATACGTCTATTTATCTGCTCTAGCCTTTCCTGAAATCTCTTCTTCCATGGACTACCTTTCCTTTCCGACGAATTGTCACCTTGAGCCACATGCAAATGCTGAGATGTTTCAGGTGTCATTCGTAGGCTGTCTTTTCCCGAACTTCTTCCACTTCTGTTTGTTCGAGAGCAGGTCCTTTCCTTCTTGTCTGGAGATAATGTGTCCCTGTCACTAGAACAGCCCCTGTGAGACAGGGGAGAGAGTTTCCCTACATTTGCCTTATCTTCAGTATCCACGCTTAGCTCTGGAGTAAATGTGACAGTTTTTCTCGTGGATGTTGGGTAATCGAGGCTGTTCGATGGGTGATTGTACTGCTTTGTATGGACATCAAGATGGTCACCATGATCACATGAAGGCGATTTCCTCAACTGTTCACTGATGTATTCTTCCTGCATTTGTCTCTCATTACCAGGGTTAAGTCTCAGTTCATGCTTATCAAGAGCAGGTTTAGAATCGTGTTTGTCACGTACCTCGAAGTACATTCCATTGTGATAAATAGCATAACCTACTTCCTGATTTTGCGCCTGTCCCTTCAATCCATTATCCAAAATAAGGATATCAATCTTGCTTGAAGCCTCATCATTGCGAACTTGAGAACCATAAGCAAGTTCATTATGAAACGAGGGCTGCCGATGAAGTTCACCTTCTGTGTACTTTGCTTCACTAGCTCCTCCGGGAGCTTCTTCCAAGGAAAGACTAACAACACTTTCAGGCAAAGGTGGAAATATGGAACCTATACCAACGTAGATCTTTCCTTGGCGTTTCAGTGTCTGTCTCCTCTGTTTGACATTGCCATCCAAAGAAGGATTCTCGGAACTTTCACAGGAAGGCAACTTAGGAAGGTTGGCCCCAAAATGGTCATCCTCCTTCAGCTTGACAGGATCCTTAGATTCGTCCACAACTAAAGGAAGAGGGGAGCGTTTGTGGAGGTCCTTCCAGCCTGATGGCCAAGAATATACATCTCTCTTGTTATCCATAGGGGCCAATGTGGTGTCAATGGGCAGTTGGTTCATTGCATCTAGGCCGCCATCTTTAAAAGCGGGTAAGAATTGCATGATGTTTTCGGAATGAGCTCCAGGTGTCCTCATGCATTTCTACTAATGGTAGAATTAACATATATTAGTAACACTGGGTTATTCGCGTTTTGGGAAAAGTTCAGCAGAATTAGATGCTAGTTAGTTAGATGATTTGGGACACTGAATGTTACACTTGGTAAGAGCCTTGAAACATCCTGAATAGAAATCCAAAAGGTTTGACACCCATGTTGACATGTCATGGTCTTACATTCATGCCATGCACACGGAGGTAATTTCTTGAAAAGAGACATATATGCAGGTGCCCTTGACGATTCTAAACACACAACAAACAACCGGAACATTAACCTAAGGTTAGCCAACTCCTGAAGGATCAATAAGTCGTGTTCTCCTTGATGGCTACATAATCCCCACGCAGGTAGAGCAGCAAGGGAACTATCCCTGTCAGTGTTGACATGTAAGGAGCATTACCCTTGGCTCAGAGATCAATGGAGGTTTCTACATAGGAAATGCAAACATCACCTTCTCTCGACCGTTTACAGACACTTCTTGGTGCAGTTCGGCACACGTTGACGTGTTTTGTGACTATCACCTAAACGATATTCTTCTGCTTGTTGTCTCACTTGAAGAAAATGCTCGAATAGCATTCATCCCGACTGTTTTATTCCACATGAAATGCGACATTTCACCAACCTGGATAGATTAATCTCGGGGCATGTACACACACACCAGCCTGTATTTGGGAACTGTATCCTTTACCTGCGTGTATGTTGCTCAAGGAAGGTTCTTGGTTTGGGTTCCTATATCCATGTGAATTTGACTTGGGCTGAAACAGTTTTATCAGTGTCGTGTTCCTGATTAGATTTGATGTTGATGTCCACCATCTTTACAATCAGAGGTACCACCTGTGGATGGTCGCCTTGAAATCACAGAAATTCAGAATTATCCACCCCTACACTCCATTACACATCCGTGACTCGCTGGGAGTAGGTCAATCACTGTGTCCACTGTGGAGTATCACCGTGGGGCAAGCTGGTCAGTTCTGATATGATGAGCTTGTTGAGACATGCCTTCAACAGTGGAACTGATAACGGATTACTTTCATCACAGATGTTGACACCTTCTTGAAGTACATCACACATATGAACGTTTATCAGAGCGGATAAACCAAAGGCTCTGGCTCCAGGAACACAAGAAACTAGAGATATTGCCTGATATTCTGCACATGCTCCCAGTTAATGTGGGTCATACTCACACGTTTCCCAGGTTGAACGCTGTGTTATGTTACCAAATTAATTACATCCACGCACATATAACTCCCTGGAGATCCAACTTTCGACAGGCAATTCCAACGGAGAATTTACCGATCAGACACAATGGCGAAGGTCATTGCCCCGTATCCTGCCCCTTCTGTTGACCACTTCCTGAAGATAACGCATCACTTGATACAACTGATATTAATCAGCACATATTTTCCTACTGACCATCCCAGGATTCATGCTGGCTTAAAAACAGTTGTGTGAATTTTGTGGTCTCGGGGACTCAACATCTATTGCGCTTGAGTCAGGCGGTATGAATTTTGAATGAGACGTTAGACATGCAACGCTTTGACGCCTACCGTCACTGATACGGGGCACTTAATGACTGACTTTGAGATGCAGGGAGTTTGTTAAAAGGTATTCTACGACTGTGAAAAATACGCTTGTGAGTTTCCTTTGTCATGAATGAATAATATTAATTTTGAAATTTCATCGAACGTTTTAGAAGTAACTCATGGTATACAGGGAATTGTTTGTGTCTAGTATTGTATTGTGTGCTAAAATGTTAAAATGTATGACGTAGGACCGTCTTTTGGAGCCTCATTCGAGTTACTAGAGGTATCTGGATTTACTTGATCAACAAACAAACAGTAGACAACCACAAGGCTAGTGAAAAGTAAAGGGAAATGACTCTGATCCCCTTTTATTTTAGATATTTTTCATTGTTAAACAAATTAATCCACCATGTGTATAAGTGCGACTGAACCATTTCCATATTAATAAAAAATCTCTTCCAAAATGTCAGTCGATTGTGGTTACGAATCCCTCAACTTTTGATGACACCGTTTTCGTGAAAACGTTAGCGTATCCTGCAGAGTCATGCCAAGGCTAATGAAAGTAGTTGTGGTACGGATATCGCGGTTGCGTGTAACTGATCGATGTCACCGAATATTGTCAAATAGATTAACATTGTGTGTAGATGGAATACTATGTTTCATTGTAAACCGAACCGAAGAGTTTCTCCACCTTACCACAACTGAAAATGAACCAGCGTGTTATTGACATGATCCACACCTGTCTCAGCAGAAAGAGTAAGTGAGTTTGGTTTTACGCCGCTTTTTGCAACATTCCAGCAATATCACGGCGGGGGACACCAGAAATTGGCTTCACACATTGAACCCATGTATGAAATCGAACCCGGGTCTTCGGTGTGACGAGCGAACGCTGTAACCACTAGGCTACCCCACCGCCCCTCGGCAGAAAGAGGACATCCGACACCAAACATGTGTCTCAGCAGAAAGAATGAGTGAGTGAATTTGGTTTTACGACGCTTTTAGCAACATTCCAGCCATATCACGGCGCGGGACACCAGAAACGAGCTTCACACATTGTACCCATGTAGGGAATCGAACACGGTACTTCGACGAGCGAACACTTTAACCACTAGGCTACCCCATCGCCCCTCCACAGAAAGAGGACATCCGACACCAAACATCTAATCATCGTTTAACCCACATGTAGTTATGTCAGGATTTAAATAATAGAAATAACAGGCATGAAACCATAGTCTATACGTTGTTTCAAAAGGATCCTCGTTTTTACAGTGAACTAATATCACCATTGACCGTTACTCCAGGACCGGCAGTAGCCAAGGACATACCAAGCATGCAGTATTAAATAATACTTGGGGAATACTGGCTCTTGTCATATTTGGGACAACAAAGGCTGTAGATGTTTCTAAACTTTCAGTGCACAGTGTCGACAGAATTAACTGTTCCGTTCTGTTCAACGAGATGTTTTAATCAGAGGGTTTAACAGTAAAATTTGTTTCTGCGAGTGAGTATGGTTTTACAGCGCCTTTAGCAATATTCCAGCAACATCACGGCGGAGGAAACCAGAAATGGTCTTCACACATTTGGGGAATCGAACCCGA